CCTCTCGCCCCCAGCCCCCCAGCGGTAGAGTGAGCAAAGGGCGTGCGGGAAGTCGGATTTCCACGTTCCATACCTGCCTGGTGCTTCGCAGGTAGATGCTCAGCGCCTGGGACCCTTCCTCCCTCCCCTGCTGCAGCTCCTGCCTGGAGCCTCAAAGAGCGATCTCCACCCCCTCCCAGCCACTCCTCCTCCCGTGAACAGGTGCCCTCCCTGGCCGCGGGTGGAGACTCGGAGCCACACCTGGTCCAGCTGCATCTGTTCACACCTGGGGAAACAAGCCGGTGCCTCCTTGAGGCAGATGGACTGGCTGCTGATGGAGGGGGGTGGCCTGGCCCCAGTGCCACCGTGTGTGGATGGGCCCAGGGCAATGGCAGGCAGTGCCAGCCACCGTTCAGGCAGGGGTCCTGGATGTGGGGGAGGCCACTGTCTCTGAAATCTGGAACGGGGCCATCTCCCTGAACTCGCTTCTCAGGCAGAGGACATTTTGCAGACTTCAAGTAGAGTTTCCACCCAGAGGCCCGCAAGCAAGGGCTTCAGGGGCTGGAAGAGGGAAAAGCTGGGAGCTGTGGTTACCCCGACCCTCCTTCCCCAGGTCAGCCTGGCTCCTGGACCCCACCAGCCTGCCTGCTCCCCACACCCCACACTGGAAACCCTTGGGGACAGGAACACCAGGTTGGGGGTGCCCAGCACCACACCTAGCTCCTCTGCTATGGCCATGAGGAGGCAGGGCCTGAGGGGGATTGGGGGCTATGACTGCCTGGGTGGGAAAGGGGCAGCAGAAGGGAGTTCATGGTTCTTCTCCAAAAAAGCTCCTCCTTCTTGTTTTCTCCGATTGTGGCAATATATATAAAACATAAAACAACCATCGTAGCCATTTTTCAGTGTAGAGTTCCGGATCATGAAGAGTATTCGTGATGTTGTGCCCCTGTCACCACTGTCCACCTCCAGAAAATGTCCATCTCCCAAGCCGAACCTCTGTCCCCAGGAACAGAGGCTCTGCCTAATCACCCCAGCCCCCGGCACCCACCATTCCACTTTCTTTTTTTTTTTTTTTTTTGAGACAGAGTCTAGCTCTGTCGCCCAGGCTGGAGTGCAGTGGCCAGATCTCAGCTCACTGCAAGCTCCGCCTCCCGGGTTTACGCCATTCTCCTGCCTCAGCCTCCCGAGTAGCTGGGACTACAGGCGCCCGCCACCTCGCCTGGCTAGTTTTTTGTATTTTTTAGTAGAGACGGGGTTTCACCGTGTTAACCAGGATGGTCTCGATCTCCTGACCTTGTGATCCGCCCGTCTCGGCCTCCCAAAGTGCTGGGATTACAGGCTTGAACCACCGCGCCCGGCCCACCATTCCACTTTCTGTCTGTGAATCTGACGACTCTAGGGGCCTCGTACTATGGCATCACCTGGGATGGGCCCTTTTGTGACTGCTTTATGTCACTGAGCACAGTGTCCTCAAGGTGCAGGCCTGCTGTGGCCTGCGTCACAAGCTCCTTCTCTTCTGAGGCTGAAGAACGGTCCACTATGTGGATGGACCACATTTGTCTGTTCACGGACACTGGGGTGGGGCCACCTCTTGGGTTAGGGAACCGCACTGCTCTGAAGACAGGACCCAAATACATCCCTGAGGTCCTGCTTTCCATTCTCTAGGGACCTAGAAGTGGAGCTGCTGGGTCCGTGCTTCATTTTTTGGAGAACTGCCAGGCTGTTTTCTAATGTCTGCGCTGTTTGACCTTCCCAGCTTCACGTTCTGCTTTGGAGCTGGGAGCAAATGCCCCTGGAGCTTCCCACCGCCCCCCCCCCCCAGGGGTCCCTCCTCTCCAGGGAGCTCTTCACTTTACTGTCAGCCCTGGAGGGGAGTGGTGCTGGGCGTGTGGATTATTTAGAAATGGATCATGGTTCTAGACGCACGCATTCTAACTTAATCATGCCCAACTTGTAGGTTTTGCCTGAAGGCCCCCAGCAAAGTGCCCTGCCTCAACAGCTGCTGAGCTGCAGAGGGGAACAGGGAGCCCGTGTTTCGTGGGGACAGAGGTTCAGCCTGGGGAGAAGGACATTTTCTGGAGATGGACAGTGGTGATGGTGGCACAGCATCGTGAATTGACGCAGCAAAGCGCCCTGCCTCAATGGCTGTGTGTGTGGAGGCGGGAGGAGTATTACCAACTCTAGATGCACCAACCCCACCCCAACTATCGAGCCCTTCAGACTTACGGAGCCCTCCAGGGTTGGGGGCTCAGACAGGTGCAGGCAGGACAAACTCCCTCCCTCCTCAAAGCCGGGCTAGGGGAGGAACTCCCCCATCCCACACCGAGGGGGAGGAACTCCCCCATCCCACACCGAGGGGGAGGAACTCCCCCATCCCACACCGACCGGGAGGAACTCCCCCATCCCACACCGACGGGGAGGAACTCCCCCATCCCACACCGACGGGGAGGAACTCCCCCATCCCACACTGAGGCAGCCAAGGTGGAGGCTCCCAGCCCCCAACACTCCACAGCACGTCTACATGGCAGAGCCTCTGCCAGCCTGGAGCAGCCTCCAGCCCTCCCTCCTCCGGCCCCCTCCGCAGCCCGCCGTGGATGGTGTGAGCCGGGAGCCTAGTGAGTTTCCCACACTTTGGCCCCATTCACAGTGTTAAACGGCCCACAAAGGCCAGGCGTGTGCCTCGGAGGCCGCCAGAGCTGCCATCTGGCCCGAACTCAGGGAGGGAACCAGCCTTTCATCCGGCCAGGATTCAACACCATTCATTTCATATTTCCCACAACTGAAAATTGGATCAAAGCTGCTCCAGTCCAGGGGGAGGGAGGAGGAGGCAGGAGGCGGCAGCCCCCACACGGCCCACCCACCACCCTCACCGCTGGCAGGCCGCCGTCCTGGCCCACTGCGGGTGGGCAGGCCGTGGGGGTGAGGGGGGTTGGACCACATCTCCCGGCGGCACGTGTCTCCTGTGGGCCGAAGAGCTGGCTCAGGGGAAGGGACCAGGACACAAGCCCCAGCCACCTGCCCCTCCAAAGCCTGCAGGAACAGGGCCTGGCCTGGGTGCCACCCCCATATCTGGGCACAGGCCCGGGTCCTCGCTGCCAGCAGCCGGGTGGTCAAGGCACACGTGGCTCAGGTTCTGTTTCCTGCTGGCAGAGGTGGTGGCCAGGGCCTGCCTGGGCTGGGGCCACCTGCCCATGCTCCTGCATCTCCTAGCCCGTGGCTGAGCACCTCCTTGGTGTGGGCACTGGACCAGCAGGGTGTAGGTCATGGGCACACAGGTGACTACCTCATCCTGCCCTCCCCATCCCGAGTCCAACCCCAGGGAGCCCGTAGGCAGGCAACGGACATGCCACAATGTCACTGCCGCCAGTATGAACCCCACTTTGGCTGCAAAATGGCTCCACTGAACACTACCAGATCCCCTGTGTAGCTGGGAGTCCACCACCCATAGTCAGTGCCAGCTGCCATCAGTGCTCAGAGCTGTGGGAGCCATGGCATGAGCATGTGGCCTGGACACCCCCACACAGGTTTGCCCTCCTGCATCCATCAAGTGCCAGAGCATTCTGGTGGGACCCCACCTGCTCAGAGAAGAGCCCCCAGCTCAGGGTGCAGCAGTCCCAGCCCCCAGTGTCACTGCCTCCCTCTGACAGGCTGGGGCATGAGTCCCCTTCAAGGGAGGTGTTGTGGGAGTCCAGCGGGGGTATGACGGTGAATAGGGGTTCCCTTCCTGCCACCTACAAAGTCACCTGATGTTTCTGCCTGGGAGCCTCCCAGCCTAACTCTTCACAATGGCATCCAGCTGGCCTGTGGGAGGGCCACCCTGCACTGGCTTGAAGTCCTGCCTTCCCCTGCTGTCCCAGCACTGTCCTGGTTGCCCCCTGGACCATCCATCCTTGTGCTGAGGGCCTCCTGGAGCTAGGCCCACCAAGCGGGTCACTCAGAGCTGGGGGTCACTGCCAAGAGCCTCAGGGGAAGGCTCCTCATTGGACTCTGCCAGCTGGCCAGGGAACCCCACTCCTGGATTCAAACTCTGCCTAACCAGCCCTGAGGCCAGCCCCAGCTCCGGGGGCTGAGGCCCTTCCGCTAGGACCTGGCAGGGTCCCAACCTGTCCCTAGGAGGCAGCCCAGGCCCCGAATCCTCTCCCAGTCTCTGCTGCAGAGCATCAGAGGAACTGTGACCACAGGCTGGGGGTGGGGGTCTCCCAAGGGACCCTCCCCTAAGGACCCAGGGTGGGATTCATTGCCCCAAAGTGGCTGCGGGCGCTCGGCTCAGTTGGCCAGGTACCAGGGTTATTAGCTCATCCCATGGACCGGTGGGGGCGAGGGGGGTCTAGGGCTGGCATGGCCTCTGATCCTCAAGTCTGCCACCTGGCACCCACTCCCCTCCCACTGGCAAAATGCCGGAGGAAAGCAAGCCCTACAAGTGCCCTGGCTGCCAGAGGGATGAGGTGGGGCTGTGGCATGCAGGAACAGTGGCCACAGCAAGTATGCCAAGAGCCGAGGCCTCCCAAGCTGCGTGGACACCGAGGTCAGATCCCTGGCCAGATAGGGGTGGGGAGAGGCCCCTGAGGGACATCTGCCAGCTCGTGGAGCAGCCCCAGTGCTGCTGTGGGTTACAGGGCTCCTGGGAGGACAGGGTGCAGGAAGCAGAGAGAGCTGCCGGGTGCCGGGCTCCACGTGGAGCACAGGCCCCAGCTTCGTGGAGCTGCCCGGAGCCCAGCCAGGAAGGAGCGAGGCCCATTTTCTAGGTCTGGAGATGTCAGGAGTCCCAGGTGACAGTCAGGGGACTTGTAACATAGGCACGTAGGGCTGATCCTGAGTGTAGACCCCTCTGTCCCCCTCCCCTGGAAGGGCAGCAGGTCCCAGCCAGGGAAGATGCCCATCCCCCAGGAAGCCGTGGCACTTGTTCATTCTACAGCTTTTCCCTTATCTGTGCCTGCGGCCTCTGCCAGCCAGCAGTGGGGAGCCGCTGGGGAGAGGCAGGGGAGGGGAGCTGAGGGGAGGGCGGGAGAGGGGGCCCTCCTTCCTGCCCCCCTCCCCGCTTGGCGGCCTGGGAAAAGGCAGCATATTGAGGCGCGGGGCTCCCGGCATCAGGCCCCGGGATGCTAATGAGGGCGAGCGCGTTCCCACAGCCCGGACATTGTGCCGCGCGGCCCACCTGCTCCTTGGGGAGCGCCCATTGTGCCCGCGCCAATTCACAGGCAATTTAGCGTGCGCTAATGGGCCGGCGCCTTTGTGCGGCCCGCGCGGCCATTGGTCGTGGAGTGTGGGAACGGCGGCGGCGCCAGGACCCCAGGCGCCAGGCCGTCGCCCGCGCCTATATAGGGCGCCGGCGCGCGGGGCCGGTGTCCTCTCCAGCCCGGGACGCGCTTGGCCCTGCCCGCGCCCGCTCGCTTCGTCTTGCCCGGCCTCCCCGCCTTGCCTCCTCGCCTGTTCCGCGCCAGGCATGGCCCCCAGCACCGTGGCCGTGGAGCTGCTAAGCCCTAAAGAGAAAAACCGAGTAAGTATCAGGCTCGCCCAGCGCGCTGTCCCCGCGGCGTCTGGTCCCCGGGTGTCCCCGCGCCGGGCCGGGCCAGCCTGACGCCCCCTCCTCCCGCAGCTGCGGAAGCCAGTGGTGGAGAAGATGCGTCGCGACCGCATCAACAGCAGCATCGAGCAGCTGAAGCTGCTGCTGGAGCAGGAGTTCGCGCGGCACCAGCCCAACTCCAAGCTGGAGAAGGCCGACATCCTGGAGATGGCTGTCAGCTACCTGAAGCACAGCAAAGGTGAGCGCGCCCGGGCCCCCCGGGCTCCGAGTTCCCACCGCGCCCCGGCTCCCCCGCGCCCCGCCGTCCGCTCACCGCCGCCGCGTCTCCCCGCAGCCTTCGTCGCCGCCGCCGGCCCCAAGAGCCTGCACCAGGACTACAGCGAGGGCTACTCGTGGTGCTTGCAGGAGGCCGTGCAGTTCCTGACGCTCCACGCCGCCAGCGACACACAGATGAAGCTGCTGTACCACTTCCAGCGGCCCCCGGCCGCGCCCGCCGCGCCCGCCAAGGAGCCCAAGGCGCCGGGCGCCGCGACCCCACCCGCGCTCTCCGCCAAGGCCACCGCCGCCGCCGCCGCCGCGCGCCAGCCCGCCTGCGGCCTCTGGCGGCCCTGGTGACCCGGCGGGACCTGCGGGCGCGCGGCCCGAGGACCGGAGGGCGAGCCTGCTCCTCTCGCCCGTAGGGAAGCGCCTTCCCGCCGTCGTCCGCCCAGGGCTTGGACGCGCCCTTCTTCGGAAGGCTCCAGCCCCAGGCTGGCCGGCCCGCAGGAGCCCCATTCTCAGAGAATGTGTGTGCAGAGTCCCTGCCGTTTTAGGACAGTCAGGGCCCATCTTCTGCCAAGTCTGACCCCATGGGGTTGTTCTGTGTTTGCATTTAAGCAAGTGACTTCTGGGAAGTCCCTGGCCGCCCGGGGTTCTATGATATTTGTAGTGCCGGGGTTCGCACGCCGGTGCCCCCAGCCTGTAGAGGACTTTCTTCAGGGCCCGTAGCTGCTGGGCGCACCCCTGGCAGGCGGGCTGTGCCGCGGGCACATTTGCCTTTTGTGAAGGCCGAACTTGAGCTGTATCCTCATAGGAAGCGGTGATCACCCCGGACGGGCGCCCAGGACCCTGCGGGCTGTGGCCAAAAGGCTCTGAGTGTGCCTGGTGGTCTGGCTGGAGCTCACAGTGGGCTGTCTGGGGAGGGTGGGTGCCTCCACTATGATCCTTAAAGGATTCCTCTGTGTGGGTGGATGCGTGTGGGCATGACTGTACTCAGAAATTGAACTCTCGGTCACGTGGAAGCCACGGGACTGCTCTGAAGCCGCTAATAAAATGACTGTTCAGCCCCCCCCCTCCCTGCCCATGGTCTATCTTCTGCTGTGCCTCACACCTGTCCTTGGCAGCCACGGGGAGGGTCTGCAGGGGGTGAAGGGGAATGGGCAGGGCCGCAGTAGCAGTTAAGCAGGGAGGGACCCCTGCCAGTGGCCCGCTGGACCCAGGAAGAAGGGTGGGGTCCTTGCTCCCGAAGAACAGCGGGAGGGAGGGAGGAAGGGAGGGAAAGCAGGTGAGGAGCAGGGGCAGGGGAAGGTGGGCTGGAGGGGTGGACGTGGTCAGAGCCCTGGGTGGGTCTCCCTCCCAGGCCTTTCACTAGCTCCCAGAAGGTAGGGGTGGGGCAAGATGACAGTGCAGGGCCTTAGGCTCTGTCCACTGAGAGGGGACCCAGGGCCACAGCCCACAGTAGACCCCTCGCTACAGTCAAAGGGGCTTGACTGGGCCAAACAGGAGAAAACATTTGCCCCAGTTGCTGCCGTACTCCCACAGCCTGCAGCACCCATCCTGGCATGGGCTCCAGGGACACCTGCCCGCTGGCCACTGTGACAGAGCAGAATCCGGCAGTCCTAGCAGGAGCCTGCACGGGGCCATCCCTCGCCTCAGAAAGGGCATGTATTTTTAGGCAGGCCACAGGGTGTTGGCTGAGTCTGCAAGAACTGAGGCCTACAGCTCCCAGGAACCAGCTCCCAGGGGGCAAAATCCATCCAGCAAGGATTGGGCCGGAGTGGGCCGCATTCCCATCCCCGTTGAGTGGCAGCCCCGGGTGTGGGCCTGCCCTGCCTGCTCCTTCCTGCTCAGCCCCTCTCACCCCGCTCAGCCTTCAGCCCCTTTCTGGCTACTCCACAGGCAATGTCTAGACAGGGTCCCCCCGCCAGGCCAACCCAGTGCCTGCCAGTGGCCTCCTGAAGTCCCTACCAAGCCGCCAGGAATGGTGGGCAGAGCACAAGGAGGGCTCTCATTCGCCTGCATTTTTCCTGCATGTTCAGTGGGCACACAGGTGGGCGCCCCTCGTGGAGGGCACCTCCTGCCAGGCTGGCCCACGGCACACCATGCTGCCAGGGGTCTGAGCTGCCAGAGGTCTAAGCCGCCTGGGGTGTGCTCCAGTCTTCCACTCAGGCCTCCCTGGAGCAGGCTCCGAGTCCAGAGCCACACACCCACACCCTTGGCAGACACAGGCAAGGACGCCTCCTCTCCAAAGCCTTGCCCCACGCACACAGATGCTTTATCCCTGGAATTTGTGCTGCCCCACAGGCCTGTGCTCCTAGGAGCCCTGCCAGACAGCTGGTGGCATTCTCCACGTGCAGACAGAGGCTGAGGGCCAGAGACGTGCAGTAATGACCCCGGGTTACCCGGGAGGGGCTCATCTGTCTGCTTCCAACACTGGGCTCTTTCCCAAGGTGCCCAGAGCCTCTAGAGAAGATGCATCTCTTCATGCCAGCACGGCTTCCCAGCCACTCACCCTGGAACCCTGGCCTGCCCCACCTATACCCCTCTCCTGGCTCCAGCTGCTTCCGAGGCGTGTTCCTGCAGCCTCCCAGGCACCTGTCTTGCCTGCAGGCAGCCTGCCTGGCTTCTCTCGACCACAGCACTTTCCACGGATCGCCATTACAGCACACATCTTCCCTTCCCGCAGGTGCTATGCCAGGCTGGGCTCCTCCCACACGGGGCACGGTTCCCTACTCCTCTAGTTTGCATGGGGCTTTTAACATTGAAAGTCCCACGCCCCTGGGAAGCCAGGATTGAGTCACCCTAGCAAAGACCGCATCACATTCGCCCTGGTGTGCAAGGCCAAGCTTACAGCAGGCACTCGCTGAAGGGCAGGGCTCTCTGACGGTCTGCAGACCCATGTGCCCCCTTAGAAGCAGGTGGGCGGCCTCTGCGGCCTCCCTCAGCAAGGCTCAGAGCACCTGAGTTAAGCCTGTGGACAGCGCGGTAAAAGAACATCAGATGTTCTGCGCTGATGTGCGATCTCTGGAGGATAACCACCCGCCCGCCCGCCCGCCCGCCGCCCCGGGCCTCTCGGACCCCTGCCCAGGACTGGCCCTAGTCAGCGGCCGAGACGTCAGAGGCCGGGGGGCGGGGCCGGAGTCTCATTAACATAATCTATGCGAGGGGCGTTTAGCAGTCAAATATATGCGCATATATCTCCATGGCTGATGAGCTGGCCGGGCACTTTCAAAATGGCGGAGTGTGGAGCAAGCGGCAGCGGGAGCAGCGGGGACAGCCTGGACAAGAGCATCACGCTGCCCCCCGACGAGATCTTCCGCAACCTGGAGAACGCCAAGCGCTTCGCCATCGACATAGGTAGCCGCGGGCCGGGCGCTGGGTGCGGGCGGCGGGGGCGGGCGGGGCGCCGGCGGTGGGCCGGCGAGCGGGGGCGGCGGGAAGGACGAAGGGCGGGGGCGCGGGCCTCGCGCACAGCCTCACGGGCCTTGTAGTCCGCGGACCCCGCGCACAGCCTCACGGGCCTTGTAGTCCGCGGTGGCGCCGATGCGCAGGCTCGGGGCGACGGCCGGACTACAGCTCCCGGCAGACGCCGCAGGGACCAGAGCGGGGCCTGCCGGGCCTGGTAGTTCGCGCGGTTGTCCTGGGAGGCTGGGGGCCGGGGTCCAGCGTTACCCGCCGCGAGGTGGGAGGGTCGGCGGCCAGCCTGGCCCTGGAGCAGACGGAATTTTTTGTCTTCGGCCGCATGGGCAGCTGGGCGCCCCGGCTCTGCCGCTTGGCCGGTGGCTGGCCTGAGAATTGGGGTCCTTAGTTCTGGTCTAGATGAGGACGAGCTCGGCGGGAAGCCCTTGGCAGAGTGGCCCCGAAAAGGCCCCGCGTTCCCGAGGCCTGGGCAGCTGTGGCCCGCGGGCCGGACAGTCCGTGCATAGGCCCCGCTCTCTGGAGAGTGGACACCGGGCGTGAGTTCAGGCGGCCGTGGACGTACGTCCTGGGAACTCGTGCCTCTGGTTTAAAAGCCACTCGTGCCTTCCGTGGCCTTCAAGGCGGCCTGCATGTCTGCCCTGGCCTCTCCAGGGTCCGCTGCAGACCCTCCTGCCTGATGGCAGTGCTCTCAGTAATGACGACTGGCCAGGCTCTGTTCTAGACCCTTTTCCCACACTCCTGACTCCTGGATCACACCCCTAGAGGAGAAACGCGAATTACTCCCATTTCCTAGATGAGGATACTAAGACCCAAAAAGGTGAACTAATTTGCCCAGGGTCGTCCGGCTAGAAAGTGGCAGAACCAGGATTTGAACCTGCCACTCCCTACTCTCCTACTCTGCCCATGTTTCAGACATGTGGGCTTCCTGGGGGCAGCTTCACCAGGAGAAACCCCCTTGAATAGCCACTGCCGCTTCACACATCTCTCCCTCTTAGCACACGTTTCTGCTGTAGGCTGAGTCCGTTTATGTGTGAATCCCACAAAAGCGGGGGTGTGTCTTGTAGCCCCAGCCCCCAAAAGGATACCCGACCTGTCTTTGCCGCCCAGTAAATACTGGGATGAATGGGCCTCCCGCTGACTGCTTCCCACCTCCCTGGAAAAATTGGGACTCAGACCCAGGCCATTCCCTCTAAACTGTATGCTCCTGGTGCATCCAGCGTGTTTGCTGCTGTGATGTCCTTGGGGTCGTTGGTGTCACCATCTCTCTGAGGTGCCCAGCCAGGGAAGGGTGTCCTCTAGGGAAGTGGGGGCATGAGAATGGAAGCAGCTGTAGGTCCTGGCTCCCACCTTGCAGTGAGCTTATGAGAGGCAGTGCTTCTTAGGGGTGTGGCCTGGTGCCAGGTATGAGGATGTGTGAGTAGCATCTTTAGGGAACCCTGATAGGACTTGGAACCGGCTGCCTATTGGACTGCAGGTGCTGAGCTTGCAGCCCCAGCTTAGGGGATCGTCTACTGCAGGCCTCGCCAGAGGCTCCCCAGCCTTCTGAGACCTTCGGGCTCGGTAGAGCGTGTGCCCTGAAAGGTTCTGCTGCCCTTACACTGGGGGATTCTGTTACCGGGAACAAGTCAGGATTAAATATTTGTGAAATGCAATTGCAGTTGACCTGCATAAGTCACCTGGGGAATGGCCAGGAGAACAGGGCTCACCGTGGATGTTCTGTGTGGCCACCAGAGGCCAGCGAAACCGCAGAGCTGGAACCGTCCAGGAAGGGCTGTCGCAGCCCTGGAGGGCCCTGGAGCACCAGCCTCTTCTCCGGGCTGAGCCCAGAGGGTTTCTTGGTAGAAGGACACTCTAAGAGGTCTGTTTAGTGCTGGTATTTATTTCCTCTCTTCAAAGTTTCTCCCTGTGTCTGGGTCCTGTGTCTCTGGTTCTTAGGAGAACCTATTGACTGACGCTGAGAGAAGACCTTTTGTTTGTTACTCCTGACCCAGCTGCTGGGAGGCCACGGCTGAGGGTGGGGTGTCTTCAACCCAGGAACCCTCAAAGATAATGTGCTTGTCAATAGTATTGTTTAAAAGCAGGCTTCTCCCATTTCCTCTTCCCTTGCCCATGTTTCCCGATCCAGGAAAGCTCACCTGCCCTGGGTTTTGGCAAGCTGTTTTCCCCTCAATGGGATGCTAATATCTGCTGAGCAGATTCACCTCTTTGAAAGCAGCAGGGACATTGTGTTTCTCAAAACACACCTGCAGCTTTGATCTGATTTTAGGTTTCTGCGGGCCGTGGAGAGGGTTTCTCAGGGGCATGTGGGACAGGAAGGGGCCACAGGGCCGTGGTGTCTGCTGGGCTGTCCTGCCCTCCATTGGTGCCCAAAGAGGAAAGACAGGACCAGAGAGAATGGAAGAAGGGACGGGGGCCTGTGGGACAGAGAGAACTAGAAGGCCTTGGCTCAGGTGTGAAGAGCACATGTGACCAAACCTCTGGGAAGCCCCCTTCCCCACCAGCCAGGCGATGCTGTTGGCCTCAGAGCGGAGCGCGGGCAGCCTGGAGAGCCCAGGGGGCAAGCCTGTCACTGCCTTGCCAGGTGGTTTGTTGTGATTCCAAGGGGCCCCTGAGCTCAGCCCGGAAGGATCCCCGCCCACAGGCTCCCTCTGCTCCAAAAGACCTCCTGCTCTGGGTGCCCTCCTCGCACCTCAGGCCCCCTTTTGTTCCCCCCGGGTGTGGGGAGTAGGAAGAGGGAACACTGGCTTTGCTAGGCTTCTCAGTGCAGGGGGTCTCGGGGAGGGAGGATGCGTATCTTGCAGAAACCAACCCACCCCCACCGCTGTCCCAACCCCAGTACATCCTGTTTGGGCATGTCTTTAACACAAAAAACCCAGGTCCTGAAACTGGATTTCTGTGACCTGAGAGTTTGTTTATAGTGACTTTTGATGAGTCTCTTAAAATAGATCTTCATCCTCTTGCATCATCTGTCATTTTAGAAAATGATTTATTTGCCGAGGTGAGTCGACAACATGGTGCATTTTAGTGAGACTCTCCAGGCCTGGCCAGGATTGGGGGCAGGGGGAGGGACAAGGAGGCTTAAAGCCACGGGCCAGGGGATCAGGTTGATCCTGTGACGCGTCCACTGGACTGTACGCCGGCCGTCGGGGAGCCCGCACTCACCACCAGGCAGGCAGTGCCATGAGGCGGCTGCTGTGGGGCCTGGTCACGATGGGTTTTGTTACGTGAACAACACTGGCTGTTTCCAGATCTCTTTACCGATGAGTGTTTGTTCTCAACCTTATAGTATTTTGTCAAAACACAATCATTTGAACATCGCTTTAGCCTCCTTACTCTCATGATGCGGGATTTTTGCCTCTTTTTTTCAGGCCCCATAAAAAATGCACTCTGTTCAGTCACTGTAGCACCACACAGTGAACTTAAAGTCACACATTTTGTTTCTTTTTCTGTTTGTCATTCATGGAGCTTCAAATCTATGAATACTACTGTAGCCTCAAAAATGTCCTTTTTTTTTTTTAAACTTAGAAGAATTGCCGGGCGCGGTGGCTCAAGCCTGTAATCCCAGCACTTTGGGAGGCCGAGACGGGCGTATCACGAGGTCAGGAGATCGAGACCATCCTGGCTAACACGGTGAAACCCCGTCTCTACTAAAAAATACAAAAAACTAGCCGGCCGAGGTGGCGGCGCCTGTAGTCCCAGCTACTAGGGAGGCTGAGGCAGGAGAATGGCGTAACCTGGGAGGCGGAGCTTGCAGTGAGCTGAGATCCGGCCACTGCACTCCAGCCTGGGTGACAGAGCCAGACTCGGTCTCAAAAAAAAAAAAAAAAAAAAAAGAAGAATTTGTCCTTAAAGGTCTTCTCCGAGAATCTTTTCACCTTTCCCTGAAACCTGGCTCAGGTGCGTAAAGCCCCTTCCAACCTTTGATCACAGCATCATCCTGGGAGCCGCAGGGGTTCTGTGGAACCACAGACAGACTCTGGCCCTTGGGGAAAGAGACCTTGGTGGCCTCTGACTTCTTCTGGCTACTTTGGGGCTGGGCCTGCATTTTCTGCCCAGAGCCTCTCAAGGGTAGCCAGCGGCACTGTTTGCCTCTCCCGGGTAGGGGAGCTGCTCAGGCCGGGTGACTGCCCTGGGCTGTGAAAAGAGCCTCCTTTGTGTTGAGGGTGTACTTCTTAAAACGAGGGTGTACCTCTTAAAACGCCTGGATTTGTCAGCTTTTCGCTTTGGGTCATTAGCAAGATCACTTGAAACTGAATTTTCTTAAAGCAATGAGGATAACCAAGGTTACCCAAAGCAAGCCAGCTCTCCCTTTCATCTGCAGGACTTGGTGCCATGGGGAAGTGGGACCTCTTGCACTCAGTTTGGCCAGGGAGCTGAGGAGGAGCAGAATTTAGAAAAAGAAAAGTGTAGATTTGATCGTTCATTTTCCCGTCGTCTCTTTTGCGCCCACAGGGTTTTTAAGTTCCGGTAGCCCCAAACCCCTCATCCACAGAGATTTTAGTCTCCAAGACACCCAGAGAGCGTGGGGGATGGACCCCCAGCCCCGCTCTGTCCTGGTCCTGAATTCTGCCCGGTGTATGTTCCCCTGCAGGCGGGTCGTTAACCAAGCTGGCCTACTATTCAACAGTGCAGCACAAAGTCGCCAAGGTGCGGTCTTTCGACCACTCGGGAAAGGTGAGCGTGACCTCCCGGGGCGGGACAGCCACTCCTCTGTCATCTTGAACCTGGCACTTGTCACTCAGTCACCCCTCTGCTGCCGCAGACCTCGGCTTCCATGTCCTGGGAGTTTCTAGCACGGACAGCCTCCCCTGCCTTCCACCGTGTCCCTGTAAGACCCTTTTCAGGAACCTGTGCCCGCCCGTGCTCCCGCTGGGGAGGCTTCTGCTCCTGCTGGGTGGCCCTGAGGTCGCCACGGTCCTGGGCTCCTCCCTCTTGCCCAGGATTCTGCCTCAGAGCCCTGCCTGGTTGAAGGCTGGTGTGAACGGCCAGCTCCACTAGGGCAGGGTGTGCCCGGCCCAGCCCAGCACGGTGCCCCACACTCATGCGGCCTCCCCTACTCTGTTTTCCAGGACACAGAACGTGATCACGAGCCGCCCTACGAGATCTCAGTTCAAGAAGAGATCACTGCTCGACTGCACTTCATTAAGTTTGAGAATACCTACATCGAAGCCTGCCTGGACTTCATCAAAGACCATCTCGTCAACACAGAGACCAAGGTCATCCAGGCGACCGGGGGCGGGGCCTACAAGTTCAAGGACCTCATCGAAGAGAAGCTGCGGCTAAAGTGAGTGGGGACCTCGAGGGCGAGGAAGGAACATGTGGCTGCCCCGAGTCCCTGGTGCTCGTGCGTCCGATCGTGCCTCGCATCGTGCACGGGCCCGGCTGCCCCTCTGGGCCGGGCAGGCCTGCATGTTGCACCCATCTGTGGCCTGTACTCTTTAAGGGGTTGGCACTTTCTTTTCAGAGTCGACAAGGAGGATGTGATGACATGCCTGATTAAGGGGTGCAACTTTGTGCTCAAGAACATCCCCCACGAGGCCTTCGTGTACCAGAAGGATTCCGACCCTGAGTTCCGGTTCCAGACCAACCACCCCCACATTTTCCCCTATCTTCTTGTCAATATTGGCTCTGGAGTCTCCATTGTGAAGGTGAGACCCGGCTTCGTGAATGAATGAGTGGATGGTTCAGCCACAGTTTGTGAAGCTGTGTGCAGGAGCAGGAGCCAGGACTGGGGCCCAGTGGGTGGGGGGTGAAGCCGTGAGCTCAGAGCCGCTGTGGGAGGGGCATCAGCGCCCCCAGGCTCTGCCATCGAGAGAGTCCGCCCACTGGCGGTTCTGGGGTGGGGGCGGGGCTCGCCCCAGCGCAGCACACGGTGCGGTGCAGGGATGGCGGGGGGGACCTGTGTGGCTGAGGGCCTGCTGTGCACGCACCTGCCCTGGCTCTGTTGCAGGTGGAGACGGAGGACAGGTTCGAGTGGGTCGGCGGCAGCTCCATCGGAGGCGGCACCTTCTGGGGGCTCGGGGCTCTGCTCACCAAAACGAAGGTACACGGCGGCTGCCAGAGGCCCTCCGGGGTCTACAGAGATGTCCACTTCCTGTCCTCCGAAGGCCTGTGGCTGGGAGGTGCAAAAGCTGCTTCCGGGCCTCCGTCCTGACTCACTTCGGCGGGTCTCTGGCCTCTGCGGCTCGGCTCTGCGCCCTGAAGGACGGGTGTCCCAGCAGCCAGAGCTGCTCCTGACTGGGTGGCCTGAGGGTCCCCCTTGCTGCCTCCTGCCTTTGGTCCCGCATGATGAGGGCCCATTCACCCTCTGCCCACGTGTGCCTCCTCCCGTGGGCTTGGTTTCTGGGGTTGTGGGGATTCCAGCCGCTCCCGGCGCCTCACCCGCCCCCTCGCCATGTCCCGCAGAAGTTTGACGAGCTCCTGCACCTGGCCTCGAGGGGCCAGCACAGCAACGTGGACATGCTGGTGCGGGACGTCTACGGTGGTGCCCACCAGACACTCGGGCTGAGCGGGAACCTCATCGCCAGCAGCTTCGGGAAGTCAGCCACCGCCGACCAAGGTGCCGGCCCTGGCCTCTGCCGCCAGAGAGAAGGGGGGTGGGGACACTTGGGGTCTTGGGGACAGGAGCTTCCCCCACTGTTAACTTTCCCACACCCGCTCCCTGGAGAGTCGGGGTCCTGCAACCTCTTCCTGCCGAGTCACCATGGCGCAGGCCGAGTGCTCAGAATGTTGGCGAATAAACACCGTGGTCTTGGTTTTGGAGGAAAAAACAGTTCCTCTGAGTTAGGAAAAGCGATTCGGGTTTTTTTCTCTCTGAAAACAAAGCCTAATCCGTCCAGGAATGATTCACACATCATACACAGCCTCCCACGCTCGGGCTCCGGTTCCCCCACTCAGCTCTCTCTCCCCTCCCCTCCAGCGCTCGGGCTCCGGTTCCCCCACTCAGCTCTCTCTCCCCTCCCATGCTCGGGCTCAGGTTCCCCCACTCAGCTCTCTCTCCCCTCCCATGCTCGGGCTCCGGTTCCCCCACTCAGCTCTCTCTCCCCTCCCACGCTTGGGCTCCGGTTCCCCCACTCAGCTCTCTCTCCCCTCCCCTCCAGCGCTTGGGCTCCGGTTCCCCCACTCAGCTCTCTCTCCCCTCCCATGCTCGGGCTCCAGTTCCCCCACTCAGCTCTCTCTCCCCTCTGGCGCTCGGGCTCCGGTTCCCCCACTCAGCTCTCTCTCCCCTCCGGCGCTCGGGCTCCGGTTCCCCCACTCAGCTCTCTCTCCCCTCCCCTCCAGCGCTCGGGCTCCGGTTCCCCCACTCAGCTCTCTCTCCCCTCCCATGCTCGGGCTCCGGTTCCCCCACTCAGCTCTCTCTCCCCTCCCATGCTCGGGCTCCAGTTCCCCCACTCAGCTCTCTCTCCCCTCTGGCGCTCGGGCTCCGGTTCCCCCACTCAGCTCTCTCTCCCCTCCGGCGCTCGGGCTCCGGTTCCCCCACTCAGCTCTCTCTCCCCTCCCCTCCGGCGCTCGGGCTCCGGTTCCACCACTCAGCTCTCTCTCCCCTTCGGCGCTTGGGCTCCGGTTCCCCCACTCAGCTCTCTCTCCCCTCCCCTCCCACGCATAATACGCAGCCTCCCACTCTGGGGCTCTGGTTCCCCCAGTCAGCTCTCTCTCCCCCTCCCCTCCCGCTCAGCTCTCTCCCCCATCCCCTCCCACTCAGCTCTCTCTCCCCTTCCGCTCCCGCTTGCTGTCACATCAGGCACTTGCTGTGCTTGGACGCGAGCGCCTTTTCCTTCCCTTCTCCAGAGTTCTCCAAGGAAGACATGGCCAAGAGCCTGCTGCACATGATCAGCAATGACATCGGGCAGCTGGCCTGTCTCCACGCGCGGCTGCACAGCCTGGACCGCGTGTACTTTGGAGGCTTCTTCATCCGGGGCCACCCCGTGACCATGCGCACCATCACCTACAGCATCAACTTCTTCTCCAAGGTAACGGGCGCGCCGCCCTCCCCAGCCTCTGACGCGGACCCCCAGGGTCTTCAAAATTAGTCATGCTGGTCAGACACCGCAGCAGCCCAGGGAGGTCGAGAGGCCGGGGGGCCTGGAGGGCGGGTGGCCGAGAAGCCCAGCACCCCTCTCTTCTGGCTGGTTCTGGGGAGCCCACATTTTGTGGCACCGTGGCTGCCTGAGTCTGAGCAAATCACCAGTGATGAGCATTCTAGAGAGTTCTGGGGGAGTCCGCCGATTTGCGCTGGGGTCAGGGTGCCTGTGCCCCTGCAGAGGCGCGCCCACCCACGTCGCCGACGCAGAGACTTGTGGGCTAGGGACTCGCCGCATGGGAGAAGCTATGTCACCCTTAGCTTTCTTCGAACAGCAGCCCGCCCTCTGGCGCCCGGCGCGATTCCACCGGCAAGTATGCCGTGGATGCCTCTTGGAGGGTTTGGGCTGCGCAGTGCGAGGCCCACCCGTGTTGAGTTGGTTTGCGGAGGCATCGGGTGTTGTGTGGGGCCGACGGCAGCACGTGTGCTTTGGCCATGGCAGGGGGAAGTGCAAGCGCTGTTTCTGAGGCACGAAGGCTACCTGGGAGCCATCGGAGCGTTCCTGAAAGGAGCCGAGCAGGACAGTGAGTTGCGGTGCTGGTGCCCCTGAGCAGCGTCGGGCCTCAGCTGTGCTCTGGGCCTGTGCTCTGGGCCAGAGCGGCCCAGGGTGGAGGTGGGGTGGGGAGCGTGAGTCCTCAGAAAGTGACAGCAGCAGGCATGTCTGACGTTTTAACAATTTAGTTAATCGGTTTTTATACCCTTTCCTCCTCCACTCTCTTGCTTTTGAATCAAGGACAAGGTTAACACAGGTGATCTGACTCTCTGCTTTCCAGATCCCAACCAGTACAGCTGGGGAGAGAACTATGCAGGCAGCTCCGGGTTGATGAGCACATCACCAGAGCTCGGCCCAGCGCAGCGGGCACGGAGTGGCACCGTGAGTAGTGGGCTCTGGCCGTCCCGGGCCCCGAGGGAGCGGCCTGTGCCGCGCTCCCTTCTCCTGTCCCTGAGAGAAGCCTCTTGTGGCTGTCCCGGCTGAAAGGTGCCTCTACCCATGGCGAATCCTTCCAAGGACCTGGGGTATAACTAGGGGCGGGAGGAGGACACTGTGGCTTGCTTTCCTCTCTCCCTCATTGGGTGCTTTCGTGTTTTGGAAACGTTCAGCAGAAATTACGGAGTCTGTGTGATCCGGTCTTCTTGTTTGCAGAGAGATTACTAAAGTTCAGGGGTGACGGGGGCATCTCCCACACCAGGGGGCCTCCCCCACACCCGGGGACCTCCCCCCACCAGAGGGCCCCCCCCACACCGGGGTGCCTCCCCCACACCAGGGAGCCCGTCCACTTTGGAGCTGAAACCCGAAACCTCGGGAGCCACCGAGGGCCCTGCGCTAGGACTGCGCACTCTGGCTGACGGTCTCTGTCGGTTAGCGTCTGCTCTCCTCGGGGTGTCCAGGCTCATTCCTCGGATCCCCAGTGGATTTGCCCTGGCCTGAGCTGGGTAGCACTGGCGGGCTGGGAGATGCACCCCATGTCTGCCGAGTTAGAGCTGCTTTGGAAGGGTTCCCCACCAGGACCTGTGTCAGCCACATGGAATGCCCCCAGCACAGCCCCACGTGGCAGAAACCGCCCCCGTGTCACAGGCTGTCAGGGTCCTCGACCGTGTCCCCCCGGGGGGCTCGTTTCTTCTGTAGCTGTGAACAGTTACCTGAGGTCACGTACAAAGCTAGTCGGACCCCTCAGGACAGGCCACTGGCATTGTTGGCAGGAAGTTGCTTGTCGGTTGTCGACACGGGGCTCCTTACAAGTCCGCGTCAGTATTTTCAAGACCGCGCCTGGCTGAGTTCTGGCTTCTCAGGAGGGCGCCTCCCTTTTGGGTGGGTCCTGCGGTTCCCCCTGGGCCACGGCCCTGCACGGATGCGCCACACTGGCCGCAGCCCTGGCCTGCCTTTCCCTCCGCCCATACTAGGCCCAGGAGTGGGGGCAAGGCCCTGGGGGCCTGGCAGAGGCCCAGCCTCTCGGCTTTTGCCCTGGTGTTGGGCAGAGGGGCTTGGTGTCTCCCAGCCTCCGTTTCTGCCACGTGTGCATAATTTGCCAAATGTCCTGTACTGTAACCTGGAGTGACTGCGCGGGCGGCCACAGCGCCTAGTGGGGCCCCGTTCAGGAGACGCTTGTTACCTGTTTGGTGCCCACCAGCGGCACAGCCCTGCCAGGCAGGAGGTGCCCCACCTTACTGAGGATCAAACTGACATGCGGAGAGATGGAGTCATTTTTTCGAGTTTATATTCTCCCAAAAAGGCAAAGCAAAGATTTGAACCCGTTTGTCAGGATAGAAGGAGCCTGCGACCCGGCACAGCAGCACCGGGCGGTCCCGGCTGTGGTCCGTGGTAGTTAACGTGGGGCTCCTGCCGCCTTCTGCGCTGGCTTTGGGAAGTCACTGGCTTTTTCCTTGTGGAGCTTCTGCCCGGCGTGGGCTTCCCACCCGGAAGGCATCCCCCTTGCTGTGGAGTTCCTTGCCTGGAGGTCCCTGCCCACCCGGAGGCTGCTTCTCCAGCCCCAGCAGTTGCCGGCAGGGGTGCCTTGGTGGAGAAGGGCAGAGGGCTGGCATGTGACCTGTGGGGTAGTCACCGGAGGGTGGGAAGAGGCGGCCAGCTGCACAGTTCCCCCCACAGCCCCTCTGGTCCCAGAGCAGCGGCTGCTGCAGTTAGCGTGCAGGGAACTGAGTACTGGTGTGTGTGTTGGCTCAGCTCAGTTCAGTTCCTCCCGGAATAAGGTAGAAGGAGCCAGCAGGGCCCATGAGCACGCCTGTGCTGGGTACAGGTGGCTCCGGGGTGCCCTGGGCACATAGTGGCCTGGCCTTGCCATAGCCCTTCATGGAGAAAGGAAGGTGCGTGTGGGGCGTGGGGGCTGCCTGCCTGGCACGGGGTGGAACACTGCCCAGCGCTTAGTGAGGACAGCACCCAAACCTCTGTGTGCAGACATGGCCACCTGGAGGACCAGAGGTGGGAACAGCGTGACTGCAGGGGTGACGGGGAGGAGGTGAAACTGTAGGGGTGACAGGGAGGGGTGATTGCAGGGAGGTGGTGATGGGGAGAGGGATGGTGGGGGAGGGGTGATGGTAGGGTGACTGCAGCAGTGATTGGGGAGGGATGGCTGCAGCAGGGAGGTGATGGGGGCAGGAGGCGTGTGGTGAGCAGACGCGACCTCAGTGTCAAACCAGGGGGTGAGTCAAGGTATCCGGCTCAGGCCGCTGGGCAGCTGAGAGGGCTCCGTGGGGATCTTCTCTGTGGCCCAGAGGCATGGCAGAAGAAGGCGTTACATCTCCTCCTTTATTAGAGTGGAAGATTCTGAGTGTGGCTTAGGTGGTTCTGAGCTGTGGTGACGTTTCCACCCTGCCACTGCCTGTCTTCCAGTTTGACTTGCTGGAAATGGACCGGCTGGAGAGGCCACTGGTCAACCTGCCGCTCCTCCTGGACCCGCCCTCCTATGTGCCCGACACGGTGGACCTCACCGACGACGCTCTGGCCCGAAAATACTGGCTCACCTGCTTCGAGGAGGCCCTGGACGGGGTGAGGGCTCTGGGTGCCGACTAGAGGATTCCGAGGCCGCGGCCGGGCTAACCTTCCAAGGCTCCCGGGGGCAAAGACAAGGTGGCGAAGTGGGACAGGGCAGTGTTTTCCAGAAACCCCTTGATCTCCATCTGAGTGTGAGGGGGGTGGTTTCTGTTTCTCAGGCAAAAATACCGCTCTTGGTCACTTGGTGGGTCAGTTAGGACGTGACGTCATCGAGGCACGTTTTGTCAGCTATTACATTTCTTCAGAAAGCTATTGAGTAGACTTTTCCGCTCCACCTGAGGTGCAGGAGGCCCTGTGGGACCCTGACTCTGAGGGTGGGGTGAGGCTCAGCCCCAACAAGCTCCGGTGAGGCCACCTGGGGGCTCCTGCGTCCCACCTCCAAGGCCGGGGTGGTCCAGTGGAGCACATGCCAGGCCCGGGGCCACGCTGCCCCTCGGGAGCTCAGCTCAGGGCCGGGGAGCCCCAGTAGCAACACGCATTCGTCATGAAGCCCTCGCAGAGGCCGGGTGCTGCCACGGTTTGTCCTGAGGGAAGAGTCCCAGCCCTGCCGGGACCCGGAGTGAGCTCTGGGCATCCAGAGCCCCGTGGCCCCGGCACAGGGTGGGGCTTGAGTCCAAGGACATGGGTCTCAGCCTCGGGTTTCCAGAGCCCTGTGTCCCCGGCACAGGGTGAGGCTCGAGTCCCAGGACATGGGTCTCAGCCTCGGGTTTCCTGAGCGGTGAGGAGCCAGGGTCACTCCTGCTCCTGCCTCCCAGGGCAGCTGGGAGGGGCGAATGCCAAAGGGAAGCCTCAGGGGACTGTGAACTGTCACCGTCAGCCTTTCCTGTTCCAGTAGGAGCTGCCCTGACCACAGCCTGGGCAGCCCCCACCCTGCCCCAAGTCCCCCACAGCAGGCCCTAACCCTGCCCTGGGCAGCCCCCCACAGCTACCTCCTACCCTGCCTCAAGCAGCCCCCGACAGCTGGCTCCCACCCTGCTCTAGGCCCCCTTTAGCCGCCCCAACCCGGCCCTGGGCAGCCCCCCACGGCCAGCCCCCACCCTGCCTCAGGCCCCCTGTAGCTGTCCCCGACCATGGCCTGGGCAGCGCTTAACAGGCAGCCCCCACTCTGCCCCGAGCCCCCGGCTGTCCCATGAGGAATTCCCAAGCAGCAGGGCCATGCTTGGCTGACCCCTCCTGTCGCTGGCAGGTAGTGAAGCGCGCAGTGGCGAGCCAGCCAGACTCCGTGGATGCAGCTGAGAGGGCGGAGAAGTTCCGACAGAAGTACTGGAACAAGCTTCAGACCCTGAGACAGCAGCCCTTGTAAGTGCCCAGCATCCTGGTGTGTGACTGCCTTTTCTGCCCAGAGGGCCCCTGCACCTCTGAGAAAGTGGCTGTGATGCTGGCATTTGGACCCCAGCTGGCTGGGGGTGGGTGTGGGCCCCGGTGGCACAGTCCCCCCGGGCCCCACCTCAAGCAGCGTTTGCACTGCCGGGCTCCCGAGGACATCCGTGGCGCAGCCCAGGATGTGCAGGTGGGCGGGTGTTCGGCCTGTCCTGCTCAGCACCCTCTGCCGTGTCTGTCCCCAGCGCCTATGGGACCCTGACCGTGCGCAGCCTGCTGGACACCAGGGAGCACTGTCTGAACGAATTCAACTTCCCAGACCCCTACTCCAAAGTGAGTGCAGTGTGCCCTGGCCTTCCGCTCACTCCTGTCCCCGTCCCGCTGGCGCCGTGGGTCCTGTCTCTCTCCCGCTGACTTGGGGCGTCCTGTCCTCTCTGAGGCCATGCAGGTTTGGTAGCAGCCCCACCTCCAGCACTGGCACCACACTAGCCAGGGCCTCTGTTGGCAGCGTCTGCTGAGGAGCTGTGTTACCCCCACAGATGCTGGTGCCAGTTAGGGGTGGGGACCGCTGTGACTGGAGAAGAGGCGTGTGAGCCCCGTGTGGACATGTGTTCCTGAGAGACACAGGCTGCTTGTCTGCAGGAGCCGAGGGCCTCCCAGCTTCTGCGAGGGTGGGCGATCGTGGTTGGGGACTGCCTGCCTCTCCTGGGGCACCCTCGCTGCCTCCTAGGAGGCTGGGCAGTGACCAGAGACCTTTTACCCCGGCAATGTGCAGGGCCATGGGAGCCTTCTGAGATGGGCCTTTCTGGGCATCCATCTTGCTTCCCCAGGTCCGGCGGCCAGAGCCCTCCTTGGCCCCTTCTGCCAGGAGGCAGCAGCAGCGGCAGAGGCACGGACTTCTCCCTCCCCTTCTGGGAATGGCCCGCGCCACGCCTCCCCTCCCCTCACACACCGAGCCTCGTGACAGGGAAAGTCTGGGTGTTGAGGGTTTTGGGGCCAGGGCTGTGGGTACCCGTGGGGGCCTTGTCCTCCACCCGTGTCCTCCCCTTCACCCACTGCTGTCACGTGGGGGCTGAAGCTGTCCTGGGCCTCTCTTCAGAGCCCTGTGCAGCTGCGCGCTGGCCGCTGTCCCGGGGCCGATAGGCTTGTGCCTGGTGGGCTTCCGGTTGGGCCTGAGTCTGTGCTCCTGAGGGGTGTGGTGTGGAACAGGCTGGGCCTGGCGGGTGTCTGGGATGGTGCTCTGCCGAGGGCCTGTGGAGACACGGCCTGGCGGAAAGCCAGGAGCAGCCCTGTAGGCTGAGGCCATGTCTCCGCTCAGGCCTGGCGTCTGGCATTTTCCGCAGGTGAAGCAGCGGGAGAATGGCGTGGCACTGAGGTGCTTCCCCGGGGTCGTGCGCTCCCTGGACACGCTGGGCTGGGAGGAGCGGCAGCTGGCGCTGGTGAAAGGCCTCCTGGCGGGGAACGTCTTCGACTGGGGGGCCAAAGCCGTGTCTGAGTAAGTGTCTGCGGGCTCGGGGCGGGCTCTGCAGCCTTCGGGTCCCTGTCCTGCCCCAGGCTTGCGTGCAAGGAGGTGGAGCGGGTCCCTCAGGGGTTGTGTAGCACTTGGTGGCTTGGTGGCTCGGGGCTTTGGGGCCCAGGGAGTGCACATGGCAGCAGCCCCAGGGGCTGTGCAGGGCCCAGCGCCCTTGTCTGTCCCCTCAGGCTCTGAGGATGCCCCTTCCTTAAGCACAGATGCTGAGGAGGCCTAGGGGTGTGGCTCCCGAAATACGGGGCTGACATTTTCTTTTTTTTTTTTTTTTTTTTTTTTGATGTTTTTATTTTTTTTTATTTTATTTTTTTTTTTAATTTATTTATTATTATTGTACTTTAAGTTGTAGGGTACATGTGCATAACGTGCAGGTTTGTTACATATGTATACTTGTGCCATGTTGGTGTGCTGCACCCATCAACTCGTCATTTACATCAGGTATAACTCCCAATGCAATCCCTCCCCCCTCCCCCCTCCCCATGATAGGCCCCTGTGTGTGATGTTCCCCTTCCTGAGTCCAAGTGATCTCATTGTTCAGTTCCCACCTATGAGTGAGAACATGCGGTGTTTGGTTTTCTGTTCTTGTGATAGTTTGCTAAGAATGATGGTTTCCAGCTGCATCCATGTCCCTACAAAGGACGCAAACTCATCCTTTTTGATGGCTGCATAGTATTCCATGGTGTATATGTGCCACATTTTCTTTTTTTTTTTTTTTTTTTTTTTTTTTTGAGACGGAGTCTCGCGCTGTCACCCAGGCTGGAGTGCAGTGGCCGGATCTCAGCTCACTGCAAGCTCCGCCTCCCGGGTTCACGCCATTCTCCTGCCTCTGCCTCCCGAGTAGCTGGGACTACAGGCGTCCGCCACCTCGGCCGGCTAGTTTTTTGTATTTTTTAGTAGAGACGGGGTTTCACCGTGTTGACCAGGATGGTCTCGATCTCCTGACCTCGTGATCCGCCCGTCTCGGCCTCCCAAAGTGCTGGGATTACAGGCTTGAGCCACCGCGCCCGGCCTATGTGCCACATTTTCTTAATCCAATCTGTCACTGATGGACATTTGGGTTGATTCCAAGTCTTTGCTATTGTGAATAGTGCTGCAATAAACATACGTGTGCATGTGTCTTTATAGCAGCATAATTTATAATCCTTTGGGTATATACCCAGTAATGGGATGGCTGGGTCATATGGTACATCTAGTTCTAGATCCTTGAGGAATCGCCATACTGTTTTCCATAATGGTTGAACTAGTTTACAATCCCACCAACAGTGTAAAAGTGTTCCTATTTCTCCACATCCTCTCCAGCACCTGTTGTTTCCTGACTTTTGAATGATCGCCATTCTAACTGGTGTGAGATGGTATCTCATTGTGGTTTTGATTTGCATTTCTCTGATGGCCAGTGATGATGAGCATTTTTTCATGTGTCTGTTGGCTGTATGAATGTCTTCTTTTGAGAAATGTCTGTTCATATCCTTTGCCCACTTTTTGATGGGGTTGTTTGTTTTTTTCTTGTAAATTTGTTTGAGTTCTTTGTAAGTTCTGGATATTAGCCCTTTGTCAGATGAGTAGATTGCAAAAATTTTCTCCCATTCTGTAGGTTGCCTGTTCACTCTGATGGTAGTTTCTTTTGCTGTGCAGAAGCTCTTTAATTTAATGAGATCCCATTTGTCAATTTTGGCTTTTGCTGCCGTTGCTTTTGGTGTTTTAGACATGAAGTCTTTGCCCATGCCTATGTCCTGAATGGTACTACCTAGGTTTTCCTCTAGGATTTTTATGGTATTAGGTCTAACATTTAAGTCTCTAATCCATCTTGAATTAATTTTCGTATAAGGAGTAAGGAAAGGATCCAGTTTCAGCTTTCTACTTATGGCTAGCCAGTTTTCCCAGCACCATTTATTAAATAGGGAATCCTTTCCCCATTTCTTGTTTCTCTCAGGTTTGTCAAAGATCAGATGGCTGTAGATGTGTGGTATTATTTCTGAGGACTCTGTTCTGTTCCATTGGTCTATATCTCTGTTTTGGTACCAGTACCATGCTGTTTTGGTTACTGTAGCCTTGTAGTATAGTTTGAAGTCAGGTAGCGTGATGCCTCCAGCTTTGTTCTTTTGACTTAGGATTGTCTTGGAGATGCGGGCTCTTTTTTGGTTCCATATGAACTTTAAAGCAGTTTTTTCCAATTCTGTGAAGAAACTCATTGGTAGCTTGATGGGGATGGCATTGAATCTATAAATTACCTTGGGCAGTAAGGCCATTTTCACGATATTGATTCTTCCTATCCATGAGCATGGTATGTTCTTCCATTTGTTTGTGTCCTCTTTTATTTCACTGAGCAGTGGTTTGTAGTTCTCCTTGAAGAGGTCCTTTACATCCCTTGTAAGTTGGATTCCTAGGTATTTTATTCTCTTTGAAGCAATTGTGAATGGAAGTTCATTCCTGATTTGGCTCTCTGTTTGTCTGTTACTGGTGTATAAGAATGCTTGTGATTTTTGCACATTAATTTTGTATCCTGAGACTTTGCTGAAGTTGCTTATCAGCTTAAGGAGATTTTGGGCTGAGACAATGGGGTTTTCTAAATATACAATCATGTCATCTGCAAACAGGGACAGTTTGACTTCTTCTTTTCCTAACTGAATACCCTTGATTTCTTTCTCTTGCCTAATTGCCCTAGCCAGAACTTCCAACACTATGTTGAATAGGAGTGGTGAGAGAGGGCATCCCTGTCTTGTGCCAGTTTTCAAAGGGAATTTTTCCAGTTTTTGCCCATTCAGTATGATATTGGCTGTGGGTTTGTCATAAATAGCTGTTATTATTTTGAGGTACGTTCCATCAATACCGAATTTATTGAGCGTTTTTAGCATGAAGGGCTGTTGAATTTTGTCAAAAGCCTTTTCTGCATCTATTGAGATAATCATGTGGTTCTTGTCTTTGGTTCTGTTTATATGCTGGATTATGTTTATTGATTTGCGAATGTTGAACCAGCCTTGCATCCCAGGGATGAAGCCCACTTGATCATGGTGGATAAGCTTTTTGATGTGTTGCTGAATCCGGTTTGCCAGTATTTTATTGAGGATTTTTGCATCGATGTTCATCAGGGATATTGGTCTAAAATTCTCTTTTTTTGTTGTGTCTCTGCCAGGCTTTGGTATCAGGATGATGTTGGCCTCATAAAATGAGTTAGGGAGGATTCCCTCTTTTTCTATTGATTGGAATAGTTTCAGAAGGAATGGTACCAACTCCTCCTTGTACCTCTGGTAGAATTCAGCTGTGAATCCATCTGGTCCTGGACTTTTTTTGGTTGGTAGGCTATTAATTATTGCCTCAATTTCAGAGCCTGCTATTGGTCTATTCAGGGATTCAACTTCTTCCTGGTTTAGTCTTGGAAGAGTGTAATTGTCCAGGAAATTATCCATTTCTTCTAGATTTTCCAGTTTATTTGCGTAGAGGTGTTTATAGTATTCTCTGATGGTAGTTTGTATTTCTGTGGGGTCGGTGGTGATATCCCCTTTATCATTTTTAATTGCGTCGATTTGATTCTTCTCTCTTTTCTTCTTTATTAGTCTTGCTAGTGGTCTGTCAATTTTGTTGATCTTTTCAAAAAACCAACTCCTGGATTCATTTTTTGGAGAGTTTTTTGTGTCTCTATCTCCTTCAGTTGTGCTCTGATCTTAGTTATTTCTAGCCTTCTGCTAGCTTTCGAATGTGTTTGCTCTTGCTTCTCTAGTTCTTTTAATTGTGATGTTAGAGTGTCAATTTTAGATCTTTCCTGCTTTCTCTTGTGGGCATTTAGTGCTATAAATTTCCCTCTACACACTGCTTTAAATGTGTCCCAGAGATTCTGGTATGTTGTATCTTTGTTCTCATTGGTTTCAAAGAACATCTTTATTTCTGCCTTCATTTCGTTATGTACCCAGTAGTCATTCAGGAGCAGGTTGTTCAGTTTCCATGTAGTTGAGCGATTTTGATTGAGTTTCTTAGTCCTGAGTTCTAGTTTGATTGCACTGTGGTCTGAGAGACAGTTTGTTATAATTTCTGTTCTTGTACATTTGCTGAGGAGTGCTTTACTTCCAATTACGTGGTCGATTTTGGAGTAAGTACGATGTGGTGCTGAGAAGAATGTATATTCTGTTGATTTGGGGTGGAGAGTTCTATAGATGTCTATTAGGTCTGCTTGCTGCAGAGATGAGTTCAATTCCTGGATATCCTTGTTAACTTTCTGTCTCGTTGATCTGTCTAATGTTGACAGTGGAGTGTTGAAGTCTCCCATTATTATTGTATGGGAGTCTAAGTCTCTTTGTAAGTCTCTAAGGACTTGCTTATGAATCTGGGTGCTCCTGTATTGGGTGCATATATATTTAGGATAGTTAGCTCTTCCTGTTGAATTGATCCCTTTACCATTATGTAATGGCCTTCTTTGTCTCTTTTGATCTTTGATGGTTTAAAGTCTGTTTTATCAGAGACTAGTATTGCAACCCCCGCTTTTTTTTGTTCTCCATTTGCTTGGTAAATCTTCCTCCATCCCTTTATTTTGAGCCTATGTATGTCTCTGCGTGTGAGATGGGTCTCCTGAATACAGCAGACTGATGGGCCTTGACTCTTTATCCAGTTTGCCAGTCTGTGTCTTTTAATTGGAGCATTTAGTCCATTTACATTTAAGGTTAAGATTGTTATGTGTGAACTTGATCCTGCCATTATGATATTAACTGGTTATTTTGCTCGTTAGTTGATGCAGTTTCTTCCTAGCCTCGATGGTCTTTACATTTTGGCATGTTTTTGCAATGGCTGGTACCGGTTGTTCCTTTCCATGTTTAGTGCTTCCTTCAGGGTCTCTTGTAAGGCAGGCCTAGTGGTGACAAAATCTCTAAGCATTTGCTTATCTGTAAAGGATTTTAAGCCGGGCGCGGTGGCTCACGCCTGTAATCCCAGCACTTTGGGAGGCTGAGGTGGGCGGATTACAAGGTCAGGAGTTCCAGACCAGCCTGACCAACATGGTGAAACCCCATCTCTAATAAAAATACAAAAATTACGGGCACCTGTAGTCCCAGCTACTCGGGAGGCTGAGGCAGGAGAATGGCGTGAACCCAGGAGGCGGAGCTTGCAGTGAGCTGAGATCCGGCCACTGCACTCCAGCCTGGGCGACAGAGCGAGACTCCGTCTCAAAAAAAAAAAAAAAAAGGATTTTATTTCTCCTTCACTTATGAAACTTAGTTTGGCTGGATATGAAATTCTGGGTTGAAAATTCTTTTCTTTAAGAATGTTGAATATTGGCCCCCACTCTCTTCTGGCTTGGAGAGTTTCTGCCGAGAGATCTGCTGTTAGTCTGATGGGCTTCCCTTTGTGGGTAACCCGACCTTTCTCTCTCGCTGCCCTTAAGATTTTTTCCTTCATTTCAACTTTGGTGAATCTGGCAATTATGTGTCTTGGAGTTGCTCTTCTCGAGGAGTATCTTTGTGGCGTTCTCTGTGTTTCCTGGATTTGAATGTTGGCCTGCCCTACTAGGTTGGGGAAGTTCTCCTGGATGATATCCTGAAGAGTGTTTTCCAACTTGGTTCCATTTCCCCCTCACTTTCAGGCACCCCATCAACGTAGATTGGCTTTTTACATAATCCCATACTTAGGGCATCTTTTTTTCTTTTCTTTTGGTTCTCTTCCGGCTCATTCATTCATTTGATCCTCAATCGCAATACTCTTCTTCCAGTTGACGAGTCGGTTACTGAAGCTTGTGCATTGGTCACTATTCTGTGTCATGTTTCATCTCTTTCATTCGTTATGACCTTCTCTGCATTAATTACTCTAGCCATCAATCTCCACTTTTTTTCCAGATTTTTAGTTCTTTGCTGGGTACGTATTCCTCCTTAGCTCTGAGAATTTGATGACTGAAGCCTTCTTCTCTCATCTCGTCAAAGTCATTCTCCATCCAGCTTTGATCCTTGCTGGCGATGAGCTGCGCTCCTTTCCGGGGGAGATGCGCTCTTATTTTTTAATTCCAGCTTTCTCCCTGCTTTTCCCCATCTTTTGGTTTTACGCCTCTGTCTTTGATATGTGATGTACTGATGGGTTTTTGGTGTAGGTTCCTTCCTGTTTATAGTTTTCTTAACAGTCAGACCCTCAGCTGTAATCTTTGGGATTGCTTGAGGTCATCAGACCCGTTTGCCTGGTATCAGCCAGAGCAGCAGAAGATAGAATATTCTGACACGATGTACCTTCTGATTCTTGCTTGAACTTCCCTCAGGTGTACTCCACCCTGTAATGTGGGGGTCGACTGGCCCTATGGGGATGTCTCCCAGTTAGGCTACTCAGGGCAGGACCCACTGAGCAGGAGTCTGTCCCTTCTCAGATCTCAACCTCCGTGTTGGGAGATCCACTGCTCTCTTCAAAGCTGTCAGACAGAGTCGTTTGCGTCTGCAGAGGTTTCGGCTGTGTTTGTTATTGCCCTGTCCCCAGAGTGGAGTCTACAGAGACAGCAGGTTCCTTGAGCTGCTGTGAGCTCCACCCAGTTCGAGCTTCCAGCAGCTTTGTTTACCTACTTAAGCCTCACAATGGCGGGCGCCCTCCCCCAGCCTCGCTGCTGCCTTGCCAGTAGATACAGACTGCTGTGCTAGCAATGAGGAGGCTCCGTGGGTGTGGGACCCTCCCGGCCAGGTGTGGGATATGATCTCCTGGTGTGCCTGTTTGCTTAAAGCGCAGTATTGGGGTGGGAGTTACCCGATTTTCCAGGTGTTGTGTGTCTCAGTTCCCCTGGCTAGGAAAAGGGATTCCCTTCCCCCTTGCGCTTCCCAGGTGAGGCAATGCCTCGCCCTGCTTCAGCTCTCGCTGGTCGGGCTGCAGCAGCTGACCAGCACCGATCGTCCGGCACTCCCCAGTGAGATGAACCCAGTACCTCAGTTGAAAATGCAGAAATCACCGGTCTTCTGTGTCGCTCGCGCTGGGAGTTGGAGACTGGAGCTGTTCCTATTCGGCCATCTTGCTCTGCCCCTCTGACATTTTCTATTGTCAGAATCCAAATTCATGTTTCCTACATGTGGTAGGAATTAAACATTTCTGATGTGATGATCAAAGGGGCTTTGCAAAGGAGTTCCCTAGACTGGCCTGTGGGACAGGCAGGTGTCTAAAGCTCGGGGCTCTGAATCTTGGAAATGAACCATTCCCACGGTAATTTACCTTCACTCCTGAAGAAGCTGCTTCCGGTCTCTGAGCCTCCCCAGGCGGCCGCACCATGTCTTGTGGTCCCTGCTTGTTTTACATGTGGGGCTGGAGGGAGATGCCTGGGTTCCCGGCCCTCCCTGGGTTCCACTCGTATCTCCAGACGTAGACAAGAATGCTGCCCCCAACCGTGGCTGCCCTTCTGGGACACAGGTCCCTCCCGCAGCCTGTCGGGAGCGTTGAAGGAGGGTCCTGACCCATGGGCTTGGCCTTGTGGCCGGGGTCTCCCACACCGCCCGCGTGGGCGCCGAGCACGGGGACGTACTGCAGCTGCCAGTCACTGATGGGCTTCCCTGGTCCCATGGCTCTGAGTCCACCTTAAGAAACAGCCTGCGCTCTCTCAGACCTTTGCTCGGTGGTCCCCTGAGCCTTCTGCTGATCACCGCGTATCAAGAATGCTGCATCTGTTCTGCCTAGGAGCGATTGGGGTCTTCACATTGAGCAGCTGCCTCCGTCCCGCCTGGGAGGGATTTGGGGTCTTCACGTTGAGCACTCTGGCCGAAGGTTTTCGTTCTGTTTTTTCTTGACTTTCTTTTCTCCTCCTGCATGCAGTGTCCTTGAATCCGACCCCTACTTTGGGTTTGAAGAAGCAAAGAGGAAGTTACAAGGTACGGATGGCCAAGTAACCTGCGTCTTGAGCTGGGGCCGTGCCTGAGCGTTCTCTGCAACAGCGAAAGCAGTTGCGGTCAGGGTCCAGGCACCTCCCCTGTTCGAGGCTCTGTCAGCCAGGCTCGGGGGCGGGGAGAACTTGCTTCCTGGAGAGACGAACCCCTGAAGATGCGTCTCCTAACCCCTGGCCTGGCGCGCCGAGCTGACCGTGTGTCCCTCCCTCTCTCTCAGAAAGACCGTGGCTCGTGGATTCCTATAGCGAGTGGCTTCAGAGGTTAAAGGTATGTGGAGGGGCTTCCCGCCCCTGCCCCTGGGGACACAGCGTGGGGCCCGGGGGGCGGGTGGTCACTGGAGGGAGGTAGGCATGGGCTGCCTCCGGAGGCCCTCCCCTCCTGTTAGAGTCTCACAGTCCTGCGGGCCGAGGCCTCAGCGTCCCCTGCTCCACACTTGCCCTCCTGTCATGACCACTTCTTAGGTCACCTGCTCTAGGCACAAAGCCTTGCCAGAAGAGACAGTCACTGGCCCCTGCAGGCTGATCCATCCCCGGTGCCTCTGGGGCCCTGAAGCCCCCGGTCTCGGCCCCTGCAGGGCAGCGGGGCGGGCGGCAGGGGTGGGGTCTGACTTGCTTGGATGCACCTGTTCCCAACTGAACGTCCTGGTTTTGTCTTACAGGGGCCCCCTCATAAATGTGCCTTAATTTTCGCAGATAACAGTGGAATAGACATCATTTTGGGAGTCTTCCCCTTTGTCAGGGAGCTACTCCTTAGAGGGACTGAGGTGAGTGGCGAGGTGGTGGGTGGGGCCCTTCCCCTGGGCTTCTCTGCTCTTGGTGGGGTTGGCGCCACCCTGGGCCTCTGGCGGTGGTCGGGCTCCTGCAGACGCAGCAGGTAGGTGCAGGTGGCAGCGTGTGGGAGGCGGCCCAGAGCCCTCATATGCTGGGGTGGAGGCTCCCAGCCCCCCGGGCTCAGGCCGAGGGTCCATGTGCTGAAGCCCAGGGCTGAGGCCAGGCTCCTGGAAGCGTGCGCCCAGCAAGGAGGCTTTGGGACTGTGACTTCATGCCAATTGGAGACAGGCAGGTCCCAAGGGCAGGCTGTGAACTCGGTTCTGCCCCTCGGCTTGGCTCCCTCCCAGGGGCCACAGAGTGGCAAGGTCAGGCAAGGTCCCTGCTCCTCAGCAGCGGGTGGCTGGCCAGGCCCGCAGAGCACAGCACCCTCACCCAGGCCAGCCACTCGAAGGCTGGGGTGCACACAGGCACCATGCTGGGCCGGCACAGGTTCCTAAAGAGCCTGGGCCCTCCTCCTGCAGGTCATCCTGGCGTGCAACTCAGGCCCCGCCCTGAACGACGTGACCCACGGCGAGTCTCTCATCGTGGCAGAGCGCATCGCGGGCATGGACCCTGTCGTGCAGTGAGTGTTGGCGGATGGTGCGGTGGGGGCCTTGATGGGGAGGGGCACCCGCTGGGCAGAGTGGGCCACGAGGATTGTCATTGAACTGGGAGCTCCCGGGGGCCACCCTGCTGGGGGCGCTGACCACCTTGTGTCTGGCAGCTCCGCGCTCCGGGAGGAGAGGCTGCTGCTGGTGCAGACAGGCTCCAGCTCCCCGTGCCTCGACCTCAGGTAACCCCGCAGCCTGCGCCTGTTCTCTCCCTCCTGGGCTCCCTGCCCTCTGCGCCGTGCACCTGCACCCAGGCACATGCGGGACACCCTGCACCTGCTCTCTCCCTCCTGGGCTCCCTGGTAACCCCGCAGCCTGCACCTGCACCCAGGCACATGCGGGACACCGACCTCAGGACTGCCCCTACGGCCTCTCCTGACCCCAGGCCCGGACCGCCCTCGGGAGGCGACAGAGACGCCATCCCCCAAGGTGGTCTGGGGAGAGTGAATGGATTCAGGGTCTGAGGTGGCTACACCTGGGCTGGGTTGGGGGACTTGGGGCAGGAGGGGCTGATGTCCCTGTGGCCACTCAGCTGAGGCTGAGGGCGACCTGGGCAGCTGCCCGGTGTCCGTCACCTCTGCGTCCCGCAGAGACAGCAGGCTCTGCGTCTGTGGTTCTGGAGGCCCTTAGTCGATTGTATGTGGTGCTCTCTGTCCTGCTGATTGCAGAGAAAGGAACCCTTTAAATGAGCGGGTTCTGAGTGCTGGGGCCACTGGTCTTCTCTGCTTGGTGGGATTCTCCAGTGCGGGCTTCATCTGTGCTCCAGTCCCACCTCACCAACAGGGAGGGCGTGAAGGTGACAAGGAATCAGCCCCTAGAGTTCGAGGGAGATCTCGGGCAGTTTCCCGGCTGCAGCTGCTCTGGCGCTGCGGGAGCTGCCGCTCTGAGGAGGCCCCAGGCGGAGGCTGGGTTTGGAGGCCCCCACATCAGGGATTGAGGGGTGGGGGTTTCGGCCTTCACGTTGGTCGCTGCCCTGTATGGGAGGTGGGGTCTGGGGTCCGCTCGTCCAGTCTCTCTCTCTTCCTCCCCAAAGCCGCCTGGATAAGGGGCTGGCCGCACTGGTGCGGGAGCGTGGCGCGGACCTGGTGGTCATCGAGGGCATGGGCCGTGCTGTCCACACCAACTACCACGCGGCCCTGTGCTGTGAGAGCCTCAAGCTGGCCGTCATCAAGAACGCGTGGCTGGCCGAGCGGCTGGGCGGCCGGCTCTTCAGTGTCATCTTCAAGTATGAGGTCCCGGCCGAGTGAGGCACCGCGGCCGCCGGATGGTTCCGCTTGTCACTTGTCAGGAATGTGTTTTTGCCACCACAGGGAGACTACGTTCAAATCAACATATTTATATCGCACTACCGTGACACGGCACGTACGCCCCAGCCCGCACAGATGCGTGTGGCCGAGAGGCGAGACGCAGCTTTCTCCTGGGAGACATTCGTGTTGGAATCTATTTAACTGCTAAAGAACCTTTTATATATATGTATAAATAGAGAGATCTATCCAGGTATGTCTGACGGGACGCAGCGCCGTGGGCATGCACCAAATAGAGTTTTTAAAAGAGGCCGGAGCCGCCTGCGCTGTTTTGTTTTGGAGCAGGAGGCTCTCCCGACTCTTCCCGTGTGGGGAGCCCAGAGCGGGAGCCCTTCCCTGCGCCGCTTCTAGACCTCGTGGGCACCGAGCGCCAGCTGCCCCACAGACCCGGGCCCCTGTGTCTCTCACTGCTCCCACCGGGCCAGAAGAGCCGCCCTCGTCCCTCTGGTGCCCTCCCGCTGCGCCTGCAGGACGTGTGGGTGCTGAGCAGCACTCCTGACTCAAGTGCCTGGGAAAGGAGCCCTCGGCATCGATCGCCCTCAGGGGTTCTCAGGCAGCCGGGCGCTGACGCGGCCCCTGCTAGGAACTGTGCGGACCGTGTGGGTTTTGTTGCTATGGCCTTGGGACCAGGCTCCCCGGGGCCCTGTTCTGTGGCTAGGGTGGGCATGGCTGAGGGGAGCTGGCAGCAGGGAGGCCTGCTGGTCCTTGCCCCTGGGAGCTCCAAGGCGCCTGGGGTCCCTCCCGTCTCAGCCCAGGTGTGGGATTGAGACCACACAGCCTCGTAGAGAGGACAGGAGGGCGCGGAGCTTGCGGAGGCCCTGCTGAGGTGGGCTGGCTGCAGGCCACCGGCTTTGATTTCATGTGGTGGGAACTGTTCCTGGTGCTGAGCTGCTGGGCAGGCCCTGAGGAGGCTGAGCTGCTACCTTGCCCCCACCACCCCCCCACTAGGGTCCCCCAGATCTGGGAGCTTCACTGAGACCTCCAAGCATAGGCTGTCCTAGGCCAAGGAGGTGGGGTGGCATGGACCACCTTCCAGACAGCTTTGCTTGGTGGTCTGGAACCTGCAGAGGCTAAGACCCCTCCCCCATGGAGACCCGGCCTGCCCAGAGGTGCCCAGTGGCCATTTCTGGACCCCACGGTGGTGTCTCTTCATGGCCTACCCTTGGAGTCTGCGTGGAGCCTGAGGCCCAGCCCTCGTGCAGCGGCCACCAAGGGGGCTCCTGTCCTGTCCTGAGGTTGACTGTCCACCTGGCTCCAGCTTCTCCCTCCTGTGGGTCCCCAGGGCAGAGGCCCAGCCCCCAGGATCCCATCGGCCCTTACCACTTTCCGGCCCTCTCCTCAGGCCCTGCTCTCTGATGGGGAAGCCCTCCCAGCCTGCATCTCGGGCCTTCCCTGGCACTCCTCAGCCCCTCCAGCTCTTGCTACCATCCTGGCCCCGCTCACTGGTGGTGGATGGCAGCAGTGGCCTGGCCACTCTGGGCACCTGGGTGTGTGACTGCCCGGCCTGACATCCACAGGGCTTGACCCCAGGGTTGGAGAGTCCATCTGTGCTAGGGGACGCACCCACTGCAGAGGTTTGGCCAGAGCCTGGCCCAGACAGGATCCCAGGAGGAGGTGGGGGATGCACAGAGGCCTGGGAGGACAGAGCCAGGACAAGGACACCAGGGCCCAGCCCAGGCTGGTGAGCCCCTGCACACCCCCACGCAGGGCCTGCTAGCCTGCCTGTGGCCCTGGCCTCAGCTCCCCTCCTGCAGAAGAGGCCACCCAGCCTATGGGCCAGGCACCCCTGTGCCTCCGGGTAACCTTAGCCTCTGTGACCCCAGCCCTTCCCCAGCCAGAGCAGGCGGGCTCCGGCCTCCGCCTTGCTCCCTTGACGTGGCCATTTCGACTGCGCTTTTCTCAAGACACGATCTGGCCCCAGGCTCTCAGCCCCTCCTTGACTCCCGCAGACCCCCAGCTGGCTCCTCAAGCCCTGCTCTGCCCACAGCACCACTCAGGGGCTCACTGGGAGGCCTCGGTCATCAGGCTGCTGTCATTGTCATCGCCAGGGGCTCTGTGAGTCCCCTGTCCCAGAACTGAGACTCCTCAGGCTCAGGTGCCGCCCTGGGCCCCAGGCAACCAGCTCACCACACCCCTGCTCTCGGTGGGGCCACAGCTGCCCGCACGCAAGCGTCCCGGGGCTCGACGATGGCGATGTCTCGCAGGCTCGCTCTGAGGGGCCTGGTGGGGCTCGGGGAAGGGGAGCACCAGTGGCCCCTCTGCCTGGCTGAGTTGGGGAAGTGATGACAGCGGTTCCTGTGGCCGCCCACAATCCCTGCCAGTGCAGGAACATGATGAGGGCAGAGCAACTCCCCAGAACTTCCCCAGCACCCCAGGATTCCGGCCTCCGGGCCTCATGCCCACCTTCCCAAGGGCCCTGCCTAGGTGCAAGGCAGCCAGGGATGAGACGGAACACCCCGACAGCAGCACTCATCCGGGTGGTGGGCTGGGCGGGCCCCTTGGGCAGCAGCAGGTGGTGGAGCCTCACGGGGCAGGACACTCCCTGACCTTGGCCACGGGGTGGGCCACACCCACTCCCATTGTTGGGGCAGCAGAGGATGAGCTGCAGCACAGGCCTCTGGAGGCCCAACCAGCACCCCAGCCTCTCCAGGGTACGGCCTTTCTGGAACCACCATCCTCCAAGACTGCAGGCAGAGCAGCCCCCAGGGTCGGGGGGCCGGCAGCCCGGGGTTAGGGTCTGCGCCCTGAGGAGCAGGCTTTGCAGCCCACTCTGGGAGCCCATCCAGCTCAGCCCTCTGAGGACGGGCCAGGTCTTTTCTTGGGGTGTCCTTTGGGCCTGGCACAGGCTCTGACAGACACCTGGTGTCGCACAGGAGGCTGAGCGAGCGGGAGGCCCGTGCATGCTGGTGAGCACGTTTATTGGAACCACGTTCGGGAGTTTACAGAGGCTTAGGCCTGGTGCAGAGGGCAGCATGGTCGCAGCAAGGCAGATGCAGCCTTCAAGGCGAGGCCCAGGTAGCATCCTGAGCAGCCCTGGTGCCTCACAAGCACCCCAGCCTGTGCCGTGGCCAGGTCAGCTGCATCTCCCAGGGCAGGCTCAGGACAGGTGTGCACAGATGCACACCACACACACCCGGGGCGAAAAGCCAGGTAAAAATGGAAAGGGACTTGGTATCATTTTAATGTTGTATAAGTTTTGCTTCTAAAAATTTAAATATTTCTGGATGGATCGATCCTAAAACACCGGAAAATCTGCCTGGCGGGGCCAGCCTCGACCCCCTCCTGTGGGCCCCAGGCCGGCAGCTTCAGCCTTTCCTCCCCCGGGAGCAGGGGCAGGAGGGAGGCAGGGGCCAAGGGGACACAGGGCAGCCAGGGACACAGTTTTGGGGGCCTGGCTGCCCTGTTTCCTGAGCAAACAACACGCCCACCCCTGTCCTGGGCCTCCAGAGCCCCCCAGGTTCCCACCACTGAGGTGGTCAGAGGCGGAGCAGGACCGGGTTTTCCGCGGCCACGGGTGCTGACCCAGGGGCTCCCTTGGAGGGTGCTGGCGCATCCACACCGCCCTCGTGGCCCACGGAGCAGGCGCCCTCGGGGGTGCCCCGCTCCTCCTCTGGGGGTCCCTGCCGGCCCAGGTCCTGTAGTCTCTGCTGCCGCTCCTGGGCCTGGCGGGCCCGACTGGCAATGGCACGCACACGGCTCTGGCTGCGGGAGGAGGAGCGCCGCAGAAAACCGGGGCCCCCCGCCACCCCCTCCCCAGCCGGGCCCAGGCTGGTGGGTGACGTGATGTCTCCTGCCTGCTGGAAGACCGTGAGCCAGCGCAGCTGCTCCGTCAGGGCGTCCCGTCTCACCCCTGGCCCCGACACCCGCCGTGTCCCTCCCGGGAGGCCCAAGCTGTGGCTCAGGCTGCGGGAGCCGCCCTCAAAGCTAGGGGCAAAGTCATCAGCAGTGAGGTCCCCCAGGCTCTTGGACTTGGCAGCCACGGGGCAGTCCTGCAGGCCCACCAGGGAGAGGCAGCCCCAGGGCGGCCGGAGCGGGAGGCCAGGCATCCGTGGGGCCAGGGGCCTGGGCCGCAGTTCGTCAGGCGTGGGAGGCCGCTGGCCCGCAGCCCGCAGGTTGGGGTTGGATTTGCTTTTGGTCACAGGTGGCAGGTCTGGGCGGGCAGCTGAAGCTGAGTGGGGCCTGGGGGGCAGGCGTCCCACATGGGCTCCGAGGAGGCTTTCACGACTGCGGCCCAGGCCCAGGCTGGGCAGGGAGAGGTCAATGACAGTGTCGCTAGACGACATGCTGGAGGAGGAGGAAACACTGTCTCGGTGGCCACATGGCTCCAGCCGCTGCCACAGCCGGTCACCGGCCGTGGCATCGAAGTACACGGCAGGGGCTGGAAAGGGACCAGCCAGGGGCCGCCATCCTCCCAGGGGCTCTGTGGGCACCTGACCCTCACTCTTCACCCTTCTAATCACGGGCAGGTGGCCCGGGGTCCGGGGCTGGCTCCTGCCGTCCGACTGGCTGCTGGGGGCCCCCTCGTATGCCCCGCTGGGACGCTTGCCATTGCACGGCCGAGGCCTGCTGTCTCGGTGTTCCTCAGTGTCCTCTGGGGGGCTTGTCACATCGGCTCCCGGTCCTGTTGGGTATGGGGGCCGTTCCTGAGAAGAGCTGGTGGGGACGGCCGCTGGTGGCGTGGGGCCAGGGCCTGGGGCGGGCTCCTCGGCAATGGTTTCCAGGCTGCACGGTGGAGGGAGCGGCCGCTGCGTGGAGAGGGGGCGGGTGTCTGTGGGGAGGTAGGGGAGTGAGAGCGAGAGAGCCAGAGGGAGAAGCAGAAGAGAGAAAGAGAGGAAGACAGGGAGAGAGGCGGAGAGGAGTTGAATCAGGGTGGTGTCCCCAGTACCCTGTGCCGAGGGTCGCCGGGCCCAGCTCCCACCCCGAGGCATCCCCCGGGCGCGGCACACTCAGTGTCCCCACCCTGCTGCTGGTGAGGCCCAGTCCATGCCCTGTGCCACACATGGGGCCCTCCTGGGGCTGGGACAGCACGGGACAGCAGGGCTGGGCCCCGTTACCTGTCGCTCGCCGCTCTCAGTTCCTAACTACGGAGGCAGCGTGGGTGGGGGCAGAAAGGAAAGCTTGGTCAGGGGGTCTGGAGGGGCAGGGTGGTATGGGGTGGGCTCCGTGTATGTCCCTCCCTCAGGGCCCAGGGAATCCACTCCACACAGCACTCGGCAAGCTCCAGGCGTCCCAGGGACGTAGGAGACACCCA